AGATGTGAGGTGAATTTTATAATTCACCACAGGGGGTGAACCCAAGTTTTGTTCTNTCTCTGTACCACGAAGAAGAAGAAGTCGTCGACGGCTTAACAAAACGTTAGTTTCTTTTTTTCGTTTTTCAAGTTATTTTCCTTGTTTTTTAATTTTAATATATGTTTTCTTATTAATCCTACATGGCAAAACAATTGGTCACAAGATGTGAGGTGAATTTTATAATTCACCACAGGGGGTGAACCCAAGTTTTGTTCTGTAATTTATGTTTTAACCATCTTAAACCCACATATAGTGTATGCTAGTGATCAAAAGCAAATCAATGGATACAGGAATGATATACTTACATATTTAGCTTACCACCGAATAATTTTCTAGTTACCTTTCCTTATTTCCTCATGCATTTAAATACATAAACAGATCACAACTTCTTTTTCTTGCATATCGGCGTTAGATTTGTTGGCTTGATAACTTTCAGCTTACTAATTTATTTTCCAACTTTATCAAGGTACTGTAAATCTATTATTAGGATACTACTATAGACTATAGTGATATGTATAATTACTGATGCTGACACAACTTCTCCATACATATTAGCATATTATGTTTTATAAAAGTAGCTTTCAAGCTTACAAGTGGGTCAATGTTCTTTTCTCATATAAATTTTCCAACCAATGATCTAATCTATGAACTGTCTGATTTTGACAGGATCTGTTAGATATTATCCATAACCAAATATGAAAATTGAAGAATGAAAGTAGTTAAGAGATTTTTGAGAGGATCGAAGGATAATGAATGAGAACCACAAAGAGTGGGCATCATTGTGGTTACAGTCTTTCAGAGATTTCTAACCAAAGTGGACCTTCTTTTGTCTTCCGGTTCCTATGAGATTATTTTTATCTTTCTCTTTTGTCAATTATTGGAAATTATTTATATATTATTCGAAACTCCGGAAATAATATTGATGAGGTCTCATTATCAGAAGATTGAAAGTATTTTTTTTCTTTGCTTCTTGAAATACATGAAATTTCATTTGTTCACTTCTAGTAAAGTTCTTATAACTGTATACAATATCAATTTTGTAAACATTTACAACATATGATCTATTTATTATCTATTGCCTAACAATGAGATCCAAAAAAGCATAAGTTTATGTATTCTAAAATTTGACACTGTTAGATAAAAGTTATAATTGCACAAAAATATATTTGTTATACGAATTTTGAAACAATAAAAGAGGGTGATGCAAATATATAACTAAATGACGTTATTAAATATCTCAAGAGCCCTTTATTCATTTATTTTAAGGGGTGTTGCATTCTAACGACATTTTATCTCTTTAAATTCTAAAAGGATATATTATAGAAGTGATTGTTTGGGTTGTAACTACTAGTTTTAGCTTTATATTTTATCTATAATTACATAATAACTAATCATGTTTTAATTAGTTTTAAAACTAAAACCATAAAAACAAAAAAAAATAACTGTATAAACTTTATTTTCTAAAAAAAATATATTATTTAAGGATTGATGTAGGAATATTATTTCCTCATTTAATTTCTATAGCTACATTAGATACAACAACATTAAAAGAATTTAGTGACTAAATTCTGCTTTAAAGTTTCTTCAAATTTAAGAATGTACTGTTTACCTCTTTCAATTATTTCTCACATTTTAATTAAATTCATACAATTAAATGTTTCTGAATCGCATGAATAACTTTTATTTATCATTAGATCGTTTTCCGCGCTACGCGCGGATAGTTTATATTGAGTTTGTTAAAATATGTTTTAATATATTTTTATTTTAACCTATTTTAATTCAATATCATTTTTTTATTTTGTTATTTAATTTAATATAATTTTTGTCTTACAAAAGAGAAAGTAATAATTTTTTAAAAATTGTTTTACATTTATAAAACCAAAAATTTATCATAGTAACACGACCCAAATAATTTTTTTTGTTTATTGCCTAATTAAAAGGTCTTTATTTAGTTATAATGAAAAAATATGAGGTTTATATTTATTTTTTTCTTATTTATCTTTAATTTGGTCATATGTTTTTTGATTTTTTGATGCTTTGTTATCTTGTTAATTTTTTTTACTGTTTTAGTATTTATGTATCTCATTTAATCACATTTTAATTATATATTTAATTTAATAAATTTAAATATTTTATATTTAATATTTTAGTAACTTATCAATTTAGAAACGAAAATTAAAAGGCTTTTATTAAATTGAGAGCTGAATAGACATAACTTATACTTTTTCTGGAAATTTTTAGAATTGTGTTTTTGAAATGTAGTAGTAGAATATAAGATGTTAAGAGTAATAGATTTGTAGCAAATCTGAAGAACCAAACTTAATCTAATTTGTAAAAGCAGTAATGAACTTGAATCGAAGATGCCTAAATATTTGAACCGGTTAAAATTTTGGTATCTAGAGAACATGAAACAAACCTTATGTGAACCAAAATATTTTGAGTATACACTACTTATATACTGAAATATATACACTATTTATAGATTAATAACCAGAAAAAATCCAATATATATATATATATATATATATATATATAAGATATTTTGAAGTTGTCCAAAGATATATATACAGACAGTCAAAAGTTATATCTAAAATAACTAAACAATACTAAAAACACCAAAAAAATTAAAATATCTATTGATTCTCCATCCATACTCAAGTGAAACTAATTTTTATGTTAAATTTAGATATTTTTGGCATTCATTACTTAATTAATATGTTGTGTATTTATTTTTATTTTAGATTTTGAGAAATTTAAAGTAATGAATTTTAAAATTTCACAATAATTAAAATGGGTTATCCAAACCCGCAAAAATATGTACCAAACCCTAACCAAAATTTATAAATACCCGACTGAAATCTTTACGTCTGAAACCCAAATAGTCCCAAACTGAATGCTCACTCCTAGTTACCATATTTTTTCCTCATCGATTAAGAGGTTTGTAAAGTTTAGTTATTTTGAAATATATAGTAAAATTTAGTAAAACTAATCAATGCTTCTGTTTGTTTTATTTGTTTGGTTAGTAGAATCATCAATTCACATTGTTGCAGTTTGAGCATGATAAAAGTGCGTAAATGATTATTTCTGAACTTATTAACAGAAGAATGTATACGTGCTGTTTTGTAAATATATACAATTCTTCTATTTTTTACATAATATTATTAAAGAAAATGATAAATTTTTATATTCTAATATCTGTAGTATACTATGTAATTTAGATTTGATTTTTTAAAAAATTAGATATGAGTTTGATAATACTTTACTTCATATATGACTGAAAAATTAATGATAGCTTTATCTAAAAAGTTTTCTTTAAATGAATCTCTTATTTATTTATTTACTTTTTTTGAATGAATGCAAAATATATTCAACCCAAAAACGTTTTTTTTGCAATGACTGCCTCTTTATTTTATGAGTTTTAAACTATCAATCTTTTATATATTAATCCTGAAGCATTCATAAATGCGTAACCTTGGAGAGCATGCTTACGTGTCAAGCTCACAGAGCTTCTCAGCTTTAATTTTTTAATGGACCAACTTTGCTAGGAATGAAATAATGTAACATTTAATTTCTTACATTTAGAACTATAATATATAGACATTTTTAAGGGACCAACTCTGCTAGTTATAAAACAATAAATTTTATTTCCTTAAATAAAAGCTACGAAATTACCTAATATGATTAACATATATATGTAATTAATGATTATGAATAATACATATTTTTGTATCCTCTCTCTTTTTTGTTTAATTTTAAATTATTAAAATAAATTAAAAAATCACATTTAAATATATATAATAAAAATTAATTTTTTTCTTATAGGTTATATTTTTAATTTTTTAAAATGACCATAAATAACTAAAAATAGAAAAATCCCACATTGAAAATTTTATGATCAATGGTTTAAATTTGTTTTTTTCCAAAGAAGATACAAATTATCATAAATCGTACGAATATGAAGTATCATTAGTAGATATTCATACTATAAATATGTTAATTTAAAAATTTCAGTGAAAAGGTTTGAGGTTAGTAGATACAAATTATAGTATTCGAAAGATTTTTGTAGTTNTTATCATAAATCGTACGAATATGAAGTATCATTAGTAGATATTCATACTATAAATATGTTAATTTAAAAATTTCAGTGAAAAGGTTTGAGGTTAGTAGATACAAATTATAGTATTCGAAAGATTTTTGTAGTTTGTTTTATTTGCTTCTTTTTTTAATATCTTTTAGTTTGTTTAGATAATTTAACTAATTTTAAATTATATTTATTAATAGTTTAAATATTTTGATTTTTTGTCAACTTTTAATGTTTAACAAATATTTTTTGGGATGATTTCAGATATTGGTTACAATCCAATCCAAACTGAATTGAGAAGATTAAATCGTATCCAATCCGATAATTAGTAAAATTCAAATATGAGTTATGATAATAATACCAAAATCTGAACATACGTGTCAATCAAACTAAAACCGACGAAGTCTCAAACGTCCAGACCTATGAAGATTTAAGATACCAACATTTGTATTCATCATTTTATAATCGATAAATACTGTAGTATTGCAAAATGTTAAAAACCATTTAATGAATAAATATTATTCTAAAAATTTCACCCCGCGCATGCGCGCGGATTATCATCTAGTTTTTTTTTAAAAACAGAGCATGCGTTGAAAAAGAGAGCTTGAAATGAACGCATTAATTAAATATGCTATTTGAACTTTCCTGAAATCTCATAGTAATTAAATGATGTAATACAATACAAAAATCAATTAACCATTAGAATGTGACTGCGTGAGAGGTAATAATGAAATAAGAACAAACATTATACTAATGTATTTAACCACGAAATGAGACATAGAACTACACAAAATTAAATAGTACCACTTGGGATAGTTTATTCTACCTCTGAAACATTATGTGGAGCTTCTCAAAGAAATACACAAGATAGAAATACAATTCATAACAACATGTGAAATACTATGAAAACATGTTCAACCACCTTCCCGTTTTCCAGTACTACAATCTCATCACACTGCATCGCTGTGGTCAGCCTGTGGGCAATGAAGATGGATGTCTTGTTACTCGCCAGTGACTTGAGTGTGTTTAGTATCTCTGCCTCTGTTGTGCTGTCCAGTGCAGTTGTTGCCTCATCATACAACCTGTGCCAAATTTTACACCATCTCAAGTTCACTCATGTATGTAAGGACTCTCAACGCCTACTTACTCAAAGACGCAAAGTAAATGTTTTATTCCCTGCAAAATTACTTACAGAATCGCAGGGGATTTCAGGAATGCGCGAGAAAGTGCTACTCTTTGTTTCTCTCCACCACTCAACTGCATACAACATCACAATACTATCGTCATTATATAAAATTTAATGATGGTTAACACCAAGGAACATAACAACTACATCAAACACTTTTGAATGTAGTTTTATGAAACATACCCACAACTACAAACGCTGCTACAGAGAGTTGAAGAGCCAGGAGATCAAGAGCAGGAACAAAATATGCCATGATCTTTAACCCTCTTTTTAAATTTCTTCTTCAGGTAGATATCTACAAAACTCAGGATGATGTGAAAACAAATAAAATGGAAAGAAAGGGTGTGTAAACTGTAAACTAAACCATAAACATGATTCTGTAACGAATAAAAAATGATATTTCGTTTTATGAAGATAGGTATCCTCTTATTCAATCTATCTGGAGATTTGAATTTTTCTGACCCTCCGATCTTATTCGAAATCTTTTTGAACCCTTTCCTGATACGATTCTGACAGGAACCCTAAGAAAAACAGAGAAAACTGTGAAGACTAAAGACAATACGAAACAGAAAAATAACTAAACGTAACTTAAGAATACGATGAATATACCTTCTTCTTTTCTGTAACTATGGAAATAAACCGGATCATTGGATAAACTCGAATTATTATCCCTAATTGATGTTAATCGTTGAGATTTCGAGTGAAAATCGAATACGCACGGTGAAGTTACGCAGCAGAAGAGATAAATAGAAGGAACAATCAACGATCTTCAGTGGCAGAGAGATATCTTTAAAACCCTAATCGAATTGAAAAAAAAAAGAACTGCGAGCACAATATACCAGAAAGAGCAGTTTCCGATTAGATTAGCAATCAAAATAACTCAGATCATTGTAGGTTACTGTTCTCATACCTGTTTACACTCATAACCAGATGCATACAAATTAAACTTCCCATTTAGTTGGATGAAAGGGAAGAGAAAGCGACAAAGAGGAAGAGCAACAGGAGAAGGAGATTGTGGAAGGTATTCCTCGTTTCACTTTTTATAAATAGATAAATGGATAGGAAAGTGAAAGAAATCAATTGATGACATCGAGCAAAGGATTGATTAGTAGAGGTAGTGGTGTAGTTAAGTGTTGAAACGCATTTGCAGAGAAGAAATTAGGAAGCTTTTGTTTTGGGAAGACGAAAAGTATGGGTAGAACAAAATTAGGGTACTGCTTGATTTGGCAAATACGCAGAGTATAGAACCGTAACATAATAAACGGGTCAAATGGAAAACAAAGCCCATCCATTATCATTGAATTCGCAGAATCACAATTTCGGGCATTGAAGTCAGCAAAATTATCAGGTCAATAAATCGAAGCCCAACAAAAAATAGAGCAATTTGATTGGTCAATTATTTATGCTTACGTGGCATACCTCATATGCTCTTATTTAGAGCTTTTAATAGTGTAAGATATTTTAGTATTAACCGCTATATTTTCTTTAAAATATTTTGATTAAAAATTATTTACCAACACTTTTATAGTTCATGCAGCTAAATTTTGCTAATATTATTTTAATTTCGCTAAAATAAATTCTTTTAATTTTTAATAGTATGTCTTATCAATTTTGAAGTTTTAGTGATTATAGTTATTTATTAATAATATTTAAGGTAAAATATAATATATATTTTTAAAATATATATAGTTAAAGACCACTATTGAAAAATCATTTTCTTATCCCCTAATTTTAAGAGTGTTCCCCTTAAAAATAAGAGTGATTATTGGATACGATCTTATGTGCTATTTTGGTGTCAAATAGACGCATCTTATAGCGTCTTCGTTCCTACTTCAAAATTTATTTTATTTTACTAAAAAAATGAGAAATGGAAGAATGAGTAAAAAATAAAATCATTATTCCATTTATGAAGTAATATTTTTTTTTTTTTTCATCACTCTATTCCATTCTATTTTACTCTATTTCCTACTTTATTTTTTGAGTAAATTATTTTTCATTCAATTTCTACAGTTACATTAAATACAACAACATCAAAAAAATTACAGATTAAATTCTATAATAAAATGTTTACAGTTACAGTCCATCCAATCGCCTCTAGTGCACCTTCAAATTTAAGAGTGTACTATTAATCTCTTTCAACTATTATTCACATCAATTATATATGTCTCTCAATCTCTCAGATGTTGTGTTTTAATTTGACATATTACACACATGCTTTGCATATCATATTTATGCTTTCCTAGAGTATTCTTAGTCTATTTTGAGTTATTTCAGGTGGAGAACGAGTTGGATTGCACCAAAATAGCATATGGAAGAAAGAATGCAAAAACCAGAGCTTTCCATCGTGGAGCACCCATGCGGAGCAAACCCGATTTGCTCTCGTTCTTTAATGAGACCGCTGATCTATTTCGGAAAAGAGCAAAACGCAGCATTCCTCTCTACCCTAGCAGGCGTCGTTCTTCTAATAAAAATACCCTGACCACCACTACTTTTTCAGACAGAGAGCATAGACTAGATTTTTACAGAAAGAAAACTTGTTGAGACTTTTTATTGAAGATTTGTTCTAGCTATTTTGTAAGGGCCAAGACTTCCTCCTCTTGGTTTCTAGAGAAGAAATCCCAGAACCCTCTTTATACTTTGATTTATCTGATGCATTATTCAGTCATGACTTGTGTGTTCTCTTGTATTATGATCAAGTAGTCGATTTGTTAGCCTAGGGTTCTAGGGTGTTGATCCATTGAAATGAACATAGATAAGCCCCATTCTTGCATTTTCTCCCCACTTTTCTTACTGCTGATACTGATTTGATCAATTAGTATATGATTCCAAGTTTAATCTTTTATCATTAATCCTTAATTAGGTTGCTAGATCTATTAAGAGCAAGCATCACATCCCTGGTCAGCGAAAGTAGATATCAGGGTGTGATGTGAGCATATTAGGTATCTGCTTAATGTTTGTTGTGGAGCCTTGATCCACGCGAGAGCATAGGTATCAAGCTCCTCCGCGAAAGGAGCACACCTGCGAGAGCAAGGTGCTTTAGTTAAGAAATCTAAGTTCTAGGTTGCACTTAAAGAGCTTGAACAATTGTTTGGTTCAGTATGGTTAACACCCAATGAGACACCCTAGGTTGACATTCTTATATCCTGAATTTAAAACCCAATTTTGTTATTTGTTTCTCACAATTTTTCTCTTCACAACACTTAATTGTTTTAGCTTAAATTTGATCTTATAGAAATAAAGTGTAATATTTGGTCTCTGTGGATTTGATCCTAAAGTGCTACATTGACATACCATTTGATTGTGGTAGTGTGCACATTAGGTTAATTGATGTGCGTTTGCACGTAATATCAATTTGGCACCGTTGCCAGGGACCAAGAAATTACCTTTATTTTTTGGCAATTTTTCAAGTCTAAAATATCTAACTTGCTCTATGTTTTCTTTGCTTGCAGCTGATATTCCAAGTGAATGACCAGTAGAAATACTCGAAGCCACACCTCATGTCCATTAGTCACGCTCACCAACGAAGAGTTAGCAAGATTAGAATGAACCAACATACAACAACCGAGGCCGACTCACACCACAATGGGCGATCACGGCGACCAGAATGATCTTACTACAACATTGGCTCTGATGCAACATCAAATGCTCCAGATGCAGCAGACCATTCAAGCAAAAGAAGCTGCTCATCAACGTCAAAAGGAGCAGGAACAAGCTGCTCAAATCGGAGAGAGAAATCTGCCGCGGAACATCCCTGCTACGCGTTCCGCGATTGCTCCACCACGATGTGCCAGACAAGACTTCGAGATCAAGCCTTCTATGATCAGTCTGGTGCAGAGGAAGATGTGTCATGGGCTCCCAGCTGAGATAGCTATGGAACACATTGAGGCTTTTGAAGACATCTGTAGCTTCACTCGCGATAATTTAGTACCCCCTGATTACATTAAGTGCATGATGTTTTTGTTCTCACTCGGACAAAGATTCAAGATGGCTCAAGTCGCTCCCTACAGGCTCTCTCACTACATAGGAGCAAGTCAGATCAGCCTTCTTGGGACACTTCTACACGAAGTCTAAAACAAAAACTCTTAGGAATAAGATCTTTTCTTTCAAGCAGCACGCAAATGAACCATTCAACGATGTGTGGGAGCGATTCAATGACTTCCTTAGAGAGTGCCCACATCACGGATTTAAGAAGGATCACGTTCTTGGAATATTTTATGATGGTGTCGAGTGGGAGTTCCGCAATGCTCTGAACGCTGCAAGCAAGGGAGACTTCATGTACAGACCACAGACGGTGCGTTCGAACTGATAGAGAACATGACTGCTAGTTCTGCGAACAAGAACCCAGAGGCAGATCGCTCCAAGAAGGTGAACAATGTTGACGGACAGTGGAAAGATGAGCTCACTGCCAAGGTTGATCTGCTTCTAAAGAGCAGTGAGGGGAAAGTTATGTACATGAACGAAGCTACACCAGAGCAAATAGATAACGATCTTGCTTCTGAGGGAGGAACAAAGGGAGAGAATCATCAAGAGGTTCTCTACATTAATGGCCAGGGTTATGTCCAAAATTGGAGCTACTATCAGAATCCCAACTACCGGAGCAACCCTAACCCGCTCTCTCATCAGAGGAGCAACGCAGAGGATTATGGGGATCAGATGCAGCGAAATCAGAAGCAAGGTGCTCCGCAGCAGAGAGGTTTCCCTCCAAATTTCCAAGGCAAGACTTTCGTTTTCAACCAAGCTCAGAACCGATTTCAAAGCCAGAACCAAAATCAGAACCATCAAAATCAGCAGAGCAACCCGCAAGGTGCTCCAGCTAATTCAGGGGTTGAAGAAAATGAGATGAAGGTTTTGGGGAACATGATGCAGCAACTGCTCCAGAGTCAACAAATATAGGTCAAGGCGTTGAACCAGGCTACTACTTATATCAACACAAGGATGGACAACATGTTCACTGAGCTCAATTCGAAATATGACACTGTGAGCAGTCACATACGCCAGATTGACATTGCTCTCGCTCAGGCTGCAGAGAGTGTCTAGAGACAGGAGGGGACGCTCCCTGGAAAAACTGATAGAAATCGAAGGGAGTGTTATGCAGTGTTATTGAGAAGTGGTAGGCAGCTGAATGATCCAACACCAAGGCGATTTACTTCTACAGAGAAAGCTAAGCAGAAAGAATCAGAGCAACCTGCTGAGGATGTTCCAGAGACAGAAGAAAGTTCAGAGCAACCTGCTGGGGTCACTCGGACTACTTCG